GCGGTCTCTCTGCGCGCAAGTGTTTTTGGTCTCTACTGCTGCTTGGTTCGTTGCATAATATGGTTCAATGGTTGTGGGTGAGCTTTTGGTGGTTGATGAGGATTTTTGAAATTTTTGAGCTTTTACGTCTTCTTGTCCTGTTCGCGACGAAGTGCAGTGCAGGGTGTGTTGTCTCCACCAACTCGTACCGTGAATGGTTGGCCCCACCTATTAGAATTTATATTCCTTTTCTGTTTTATTTGATTTTTTAAAATTCTTTTTTATATTAATTAAGACCATAATGACGTGAGTAACTTTTATTTTAATTTAATTATTACAAAATGATTAAAATAATTAATATTTATTGTTTAATATATTAAAAATAATTATTTTAATAAAATCTTTAGTGAGAATAACTTTATTCTCAACTTTGGATCAGCCCTTGAAATTTGTGTCGAGATAATTATTCACAAGAAACCAAATATAGCCATGAAAGCTCTATCAAGTGCTTTTATTTATCAACCATAGAATCACCCTTGCTCGGCTCAGGTGACAGGTGTATACTCTCTGATAGGGACTAATGGGTCTAAGTCTGAGAGGCTTGTTAGTTGGGCTTAACAAAGACATAAGAATTATTGGGTCGGGCCATAAGTGCAAGGGCGGAGGCCTTAAGAGCTCACACATGCGCTGGGACTTTGGAGAAAGAAAAAAGTAGGGAAAAACGAACACGCTAGAAGGAGGGCTTGAACCTCCGACCTTGTGGTTAACAGCCACACGCTCTAACCAACTGAGCTATTCCAGCCTATCTAATGAACTAGCAAATATAAAACTTTATATTTAGTACGATGAGAGATTATATTGAGGCATTGTCAGGTTTTACTTTCTTTTTTTTTTTTTTACTTAGTAAAATTGTTAAAGAGAAGAGGAATAGTACCTGAAAAATAAATTCAGTACTTTAACGTTTGCAGATGTTTTTAAAATAATAATGACCACTAAATCGTATAGTGTGAATAAGTTTTACTTTCTACTTAAATGACAAACAATTGCCCATCTTCAAAATAAATAAAAAAAGGGTCAAAAACAGACAAATCTGCTATCTCCGTTTACTCTGATGCAGTCTCTGCGGCTATGCCTATCTCGCGATGTCAAACCACGAGCAGACATACCTTCGTTTATCCACATGGTCATTGAACGGTGAGAGAAAACCTTCTTTATATTCTTTTGAAGTTCAGAAGATAAACCTCAGTGCAAAGAATCAAAAAAGAAAAATTATTTGTATAAAATAAGTTATGAGTTTTATTTCAAGATTATAAATAAATAGTTTAAACTCGATTATTTTTACTATTTTTTTTTTTTTTAATTTTGTTTTACAAAACATAAAATAAGATAAAAAGGAATCCAGAAATGGCAGAAGAAGATAAACAAGGAAATGGAGGAATAGACAGGAATCCAGGAGGACCAGCCGACCAGAAAAATGTTTTGCTTATGACAACTTATATGTACTGGGTTACTCTTATCTATTCCCCCTTCCCAAAATTCAGAGAAAGGAGACAACAACCGTAGTCCCCAGACCGCATGGGTGGGGCAGGGCTGCTGCAGGCTTTGTTGTACCAAAATCACATGCCCAAATCATTTCTCAGTTTCTACCCAAAAAAAAAATAATAATAAATATTTGCCTCAGTTTATTCCTTATTTCCGAGATGTAAACAATCAACCAGAAATTTCTCCCTTTTTTTATTTTAAAAAATTATTTTATAATTTATATTGTATTAAGTAAAAAAATATAAATAATTTAATAATAAATTAAGAACCTTCAATACTAATAGTTTATCTCTGTTAAATTATTAATATTCTACCGTTAAATAAATAATTAATTAATTAATGTTATATAATTTAAAATATACAAAACATTAAATAAGAACTCCCCTCTTTATTAGTTTGCAATTATAATTCCTTTTTAATTAATTAAAAAATCAAAGTACAATGAGTTTTCGTAAACAATTTAATACGTTCTTGGTGTATTCATCGTCCCTTGCCCTCCCTTTCCTCTCCTCCCCGCCATCTCCTTCCCGCCACACATATTTACGCAACCATCCATAAGCAAAAGACCAAAATGTACTTATGTTAATATTGTTTCGTTTGGCCAAGAAAAGAGAAAATAAAGTTTATGAAATATAAATATAAAGTATTTTCTTTGTTTGGCCTACAGGTGTTTTTAATAATGTATACATATTTTAAAATTAATATTTTTTACATAATTTTAATGGTGTATTTTTTTATATTGACTTAGTATACTAAGAAAATTAAAAAATTTTAAATATTAATTTAAAAACTTAAATCCTAAATTATATTTAGTAGATATATTTATTTATCAATAAATTTAACCATTAATATTAAGAAAAATAAAGTACTAGTTCAATACTAAGAGCCAATTTAATATAAATATAGTATTTGTATAAGGAAAATGATACAGCAGCGTGTCAGCGTGTGAATGTTAGAAATTATATGTGTTGTTTAAATAAACTTTTTATACAAGAAATAAATCAAAAAGAAATTT